CGCCCACCCCCCCTGTCAACTCTGCAGCTGCTGGTCATGTACTACACGCGCGCCCTGGCACACCTCAAGTCCATGTGGTTCTCCTCGGTGGCCAACTCCATACTCTGGTTCGCCTTCCTCAAGGTGGGCAGGGCAGCGGGTGGAGGCGGGGGTGGTGTGATGGTTTGGTGGTGGGTGGGGTGCGTAAAGGCAGGTCTGGCGGATGCCGTGCTGCCTGGAAATCTTGTTGCCACGAAGCTGAGGCTGCTGGCTCATGCCCTCCGCCGCAATCCCCACAGGCGATGTACCGCGCCACGCTGGGGCGCTGGATTGCGGGGCGCATCACCTTCAAGGTCACAGCCAAGGGCCTGCAGCGCATCGCAGACCTGCCGATCAGGTGCGCGCGGCACGCAGAGGGCCGCCTGTGTGCCTCCGCACCAGCGCAGCTGCCTAGCTCTGCACTGCCGCGCCCTCCCACCCTCCCCTGCTCTCCTTGCTGGCCCCCGGCCTGCCCGACCATACCTTTTGTGCCCGCCCCGCAGGGATGTGTGGGTGTCGGCCCTCTTCTTCATCGCCTCGGTGGTGTGCCTGGGCTTTGGGCTGGCCCACTTCTTCCGCGGCCCCCTGGACACCCCGCTGGCCATCTCGCTCATCTTCATGATCTACAACATCATACCGCAGTTCCTGCTGCTCCAGGTGGGGGGGGGTGGGGGTGGGGTGGGGTGAGGGTGCGCAGGGTGGCCACATGCGCAGCGCGTGGCCACACGCCTGTGCCGGGCGTGTTGCGCAAGCCTGGAGCAAGGGGGTAGTGTTTCCCAGGAAGCGCTGGCCCTGTTACGTTCTGCTACCGCCTGTGCCTGCAGTACACCATGTACCGCAAGCCCATCGTCTTCAACGCCATCTGCAAGCTGGCCATGCTGCTGTCCACGCTGGTGCTGGTGCTGGGCGTGGTGCTGGTCTGGCTGCTCTACCCTCGCTCATACGACTACAGCCAGGCAAGGCAGAGGGCCTAGGGGGGAGGAGAGGGAGGACTTTGAAGCGGGGGGCAGCCAGGGGCAGCTGCGGCCAGGCCTGAGCGTTGAAGGTCAGCGTGGCATGCAGCACACAGCAGGCGGGATGCCGACCCCCTAACCATGCCCTCCCTGCCTTCTTCTCGCCCGCTCCGCAGGCGCTGAGCCAGACCATGTTTTTCTTCGACACCCAGAGAGAGGGCTACCTGCCGCTGAGCAACCCGGTGTCGTGGCGCGGCAGCGCGTTTGTGGCTGACTACAACAGCAGCGCCACGCTGGCGGCAGCCACCCCCAACGCCACATTCGACTCGGGCTTTGGATCCTTTGGCTCGGTGGGTTGTTGGGGCTTGCTACACTCTGAGCCAGGGGCCGGCCGTGCGCCAGTGTCTGTGGGAGTGCTGGGCCGCAGCGCTGCCCATGTCCCTGCCTGCCTCCCACCCTGCGCTCACCCGCGCTGGGGTGCAGGAGTTTGGCAGCGACCCGTTTGGCGGCATGCTGGGGGACCCCATCCGCGGCCGCCGCCTGTTCCAGAGCGACGACCCCTTTGCCGCCACTGCCGACAGCGGCGGCGACGCAGGCGGCTCCAGCTTGGGCGATCCCTTTGCCACCGGCGCAGGCAGCAGCGACCCGTTTGCCACCGGCGGCGGCAGCGACCCCTTTGCCACAGCTGGCAGCGGCGGCGATCCGTTCGACCCCTTTGCCGGCAGCAGCTCCAGTGCTGGCGACCCGCTGGCCGAGGCGGCGGCGGCCGTGGCTGACGTGGCGTGGGACCTGGGCGGCGGCTGGATCAGCGGCATGAGCGGAGGTGCGGACAAGGGGAGCGGTGGGGATGCATGTGGGGTGGGACGCACATCCTCCCGTAGCCAGCCCTCCCTGTGCTTCCGTGCCTCCACCTGCACTCCCTCCCCTCCCGCCAACACGCCCCCCGCTCCCTGGCAGGCAACATCAAGGCCACCACCCCCATCGCCTTCACCACCACCCTGCTGGTGTGGGCCCTCATGGCCTTTGGCCCCGGCTTCACGGCGGCGGGCCAGGCGGGCGCAGCGCTCGACTCCATCCGCTGGGGCAGCGACTACCTGCTCAAGGTGCACAAGGCGCTGCCCGGCACCAACAACAGCATGATCATCACGCGGGTGAGCAGGCCTGTTGGGAGGGGGCTGGAGCGGGGAGGCAGGCGGGACGATGGGGAGAGACGGACAGCGGGGGGAGCCCGGCGGGCACACCCCAGGATACCTCTGTTGGCGCGGCGAGCCATGGCCGACCGCATCCCCTTCCACATTCTGCCTGACCTCCCCCTGCCCCCTCCCTGCACCCTGGCCCTCCTGGCCTGTGCCATGTGAGAGCAGGTGGGCGACATCGACACCGAGATGCTGCTGTGGTACCGCCCGGAGGAGCAGGGCCTGCCCCGCCCCGCCTTTGCCGTCGACCTCACCACCGGCGGCTCCGACCTGGGCGGCAGCGTGGCCGCCGCCCTGGCAGCCTCCTCCATTGCCTTCCGCAACCAGAACGACACGCAGTATGCGGGGCAGCTGCTGGCCAAGGCGCAGGAGGTGGGCGGGCACCCCCGGGGGAGCGGCTGCCTGGGCGGCGGCAGCAACCAGGGGCTGCCAAGAGGCGAGGCCTCGCCTTGCATCCAGGCACCACCCAATCCTCCTCCCTCCCTCCCTCCTTCACCACCTCCTTCACCTCCCTGCCCGCAGGTCTATGAGTTTGCCAAAGCGGTGAAGGGCCGGTTTGGCGACGGCGACTTCAACCTCACCGTCCTCTACAACACCTCCACCTTTTACGACGACCTGGCCTGGGCCGCGGGCTGGCTGTACAAGGCCACCAAGCAGGCAAGCGCACGCACTGGGGGGCAGGGCCAGCCCAGCCGGCACCGCCTGGAGATGGCGGCGCCCCGAGCGGCGTGCTGCCGCTGCCGCTCATGCCGTCTCGCCACCCCCACCGCCACAGTCAGTGTACAGCGCACACCCCTCCTCCTGCGCAGGACTCGTACCTGTCTGATGTGTACGACTTCTACGTCAAGCACTTGGAGGACGAGGCCCCCATCTCAGACTTCAAGTGAGCAGTGGCGGGGTGTGGCGGTGGTGGTGGTGGCGGTGGTGGCTGATGGCGCGGTCGTCACGCCCACCCTCTGTGCTGCATGCCTGTGTGCTGCTGCCTGCCCCTGCCTCCACTCCCTCCCACGACCCACCCGCTCGCCCTGCCTCTGCCGGCCCCAGCATGACCCCTGCCTGGCCTCCCCCTGCCACCCCACCCCGCCCCTGCCCAGGTACGCGTACGACTGGGACAACGTGTTCTGGCCCCTCAACCTGCTGCTGGCCCAGGAGACCGAGCGCTCCACCTTCCGCCAGCAGACCGAGCTGTTCCTCAAGAACTGGATCTGCGCCGGCAACGCCGCCAACTACACGCAGCGAGGGCGGGCATACAACCCCATGAGCGGTGCGGCTTGGGAGGTTGTGCTTGTGCTTGTGCTTGTGCTTGTGCTGCACCAAGCCGTGTGCATGGGCATGGAGAACCTTGCAGCTCCTGTCGGCCGCAGGCCTGTCCCGCCCTCCCATCACCTCCCCCCCCCCCCCCGCCGCCCGCCTGCAGGCTCTCTGGGCGCCACCGCCAACGCGGCCGCCATGTCGCTGATGTATGCTGACCTGGCGGAGGCCTCCTCCCCCACCCTGGCCCGCGAGTACCGCTGCTGGGCGCTATCCCAGGTGCGGTACGTGCTGGGCGACGCGGGGCGCAGCCTGCTGGTGGGGCACGGCAAGAACCCGCCCAAGCGCACCCAGGACCGCGCCGCCGCCTGCCCAGACCCGCCAGAGGTGAGCGGGAGCGGCGCGCGGTGGCTGTGGGGTGGGGGAGGGGCACGGACTGGCTGGTGGCTGTGCTGCGGAGCTGCTGCCGGCTGGGCAGGGCTTAGGGACAGGAGGGGTGGGCATTCCTCGTGGGGCTGCAGGCACCCTGCTGCTGCGGCTTGCTGGCAAAAGGCTGGGGTGGCGCATGGGCGCCCGGCGTGCCGCCACTCATGGGACCTCTAGCGCCCACCACGCCTGCCCGTCGCACCCGCAGGTGTGCAATCGCGTGACGGGCCTGCTGTCTCCCGACCCCGACAGCCACGTGCTAAGCGGCGCGCTGGTGTACGGCAGCGGGCGCTGCGACGCGTTCAAGGATGAGCGGGGCGCCGACAGCAACCGCGTGGGCATCGAGAACAATGCGGGGCTGGCGGCGGCGCTGGCGGGCGTGGCGCGGGTGGGTTGGCCCTGGCCTGCGGGGAGGCTGGCGGGCTGGGCAGGAGGGTTAGCAGGCAGAGGGCCCCGCCAGGGACGTCCAGCTGGCACCTGCACCTTGGCAGCCTCGCTTCCTGGCTCACCGTTCTTGCGCTGCGCCCCCTGCTGCCGCCCCTCTGCAGCTGGACCCCGGCCTGTGGGAGGTGTGCCTGCAGGACTACGGCATCTACCGCTCCTCAGCCATTTGTGGCACCTACCTCTCCGTTTAGTCCCCAGGCCTCAGCTAGCTCCACAAGCACTGGCAGAGCAGTTTCCATGTTTCCTTGCACAGCACTTCTGGCGCGCTTCCTCGCTCGCACTCCCTGAGGCACACTGCGATACGCTGATCTGATGTCTCTCTTCTTTCCTCCCCACCCCTCTTCTTTCCCCCGTCCTCTCTTCTTTCTTGATTCGTCAACCCATCTGTCGCAGGGCGCGCCATCGCGCTTGCCCCTGCTAGGTAGCTTGCTTGCACAGCAGATCCCGAGCGCCGATGGCCCTGCGCTCCCGTTGATGCGAGTTGATACTAGCGACCGCCGTTGCAGGCACCGTGCTGTGCACATGCAAGACTGCCTCCTCAGCTTCTTCTGTACTTGAGCGGCGCAAGCGCTAGGGATTGCCGGAACTCACCAGCTTTGAAAAACTCAAAAACCCCTTTTGTTGTCCCCCCCCTCCCCCCTTGTGGAGCAATGTTACGTACTGCGGCAATGCATGCACGCCCCCACCCTGTTGTCACACTACCGATTGCTGCACCCCCTCACAATGTGGCTATCCCAGTTCCATTACAAGGCATGTACAGAGAGCAAGGCAGAGGATAAATAGAGATAGAGCAGAGCGTACACAGGGAGCATGCATGGGGGGCTTGGGGGCAGAGAGCTGGGTACAAGGCATGCACGTCCTGGAAAAATGGCGGCGCGGGGCGAGGCACGAGTGGCCAGGCCCCTACAAAAAGCTACACGAGGGGGGCAGAAAGCGAGATGAGCAGCAGGCCGGGGGAGACATCCCCTGGCCCGGAAGTCGCGTCGGCCGGCTGTGCCTGCCGCCATCATGCGGACGCCACCAGCTGGGCATCCGGCCCGCCAGACACCAGCTTGCCGGCGTGCGGCGCGCTGCTGCCGCAGGCATCGCGCGCCGAGGCACCCAGCGCCGCGGGCTGCAGCCCGGCGTTGCACAGGTTGGCAAAGGCGCGGGTGTGGCGCATGCCGTACTGGTCCAGCCGCCCGCAGGCGCCCTCCCAAGCGCCCACCATGCCCTGCAAGTGCCGCGCCACCGCCAGCAACAGCGTCAGCAACACATGCGTTGCAGCCAGCGCGGCAGGGCAGCAGCTTGCATGTCGGTGTGGCCTCTCAGCAGCCCACTCCTGGCCTGCATACACAGCAGCAACTAACCCGCAGGCAGTCCCAGTCGTCCACCAGCGCGGCGCCTGCGGGGCGCGGCAGCTCGCCGCCCACCAGCAGCTCAGCCAGGCCGCCATCGTCGCCGCCCCGGCCGCCATCGCCACCCAGCAGCAGCTCCGGGGCCAGCAGCTCGCCGTACTTGGAGCGCAGCAGGGCGAGCGCGTTGGTGTGGGTGAGGAGGTGCTGCACCGCGGTGTGCACGCTGGCGTCCAGCTCAGCACGACGCGACACCTGCACGCTTACAAATGACGCAGCCGTGAGCGACAATGCGAGAAGAGCCGCACCAAGCTCCGCCGGGTGGAGGGGGTGCTGCCTGGGCCACCAGGCGGCAAGGGCGCGGCCGGCGTGCCGCCCACTCGCCTCGGCCTCTAGATGGCGCCGGGCCTCAGCCTTGGCGGGCCCCTCCTCCGCCGTCTGGTACCGATGGTACAGCGGTACCAGGTCGGCCTCGCGCTGCGGCACCGCGCCCAGCGGAGCCCAGGGCAGGCCGTTGTCGGCGGCCTGCGCGCCATAGTCTGCGGCCAGGCAGCGCGCGCCGCCAAACACAGAAACCTCAGCTGCTCGGCGCATGCAGCACATCACACTTGGGTCGCATCGGAGCGCCCTACATGCCGCCCGGGGGCCATCCAGGGGCCAGGCAGGCAAGGCCCCACGCGCCGCCGCCGCGCCGCCCACCTATGTTGCCGCCGCCCTCAAACTCCGCCGCGGGCTCCTCGCCGATGATGAAGCTGCCGAAGCGCATGACGTGAGAGCCCTGGGTGTATGTGAAGTTGCGGGACACGCGCGCCTTCACCAGCTGGAACTGCTTCTTCAGGGTCTCTGCGGGATTTGCGGGGAGGCGGGAGGGCACAGGCGGGTGCGGGTGGGTGTCGGGCAGAGGGGGCAATACACCGGTGTCAGGCAGCAATACGCCCAGCTGGCAGTCCCAGGAGCAGCAAGCAGCACGCCAGCCGGGCAGCGATGCGCGGGCGGCGGGCTCCAGCCCCCGAGGCCCACCCCAACCCCACACCCCACCTATCGTCAGGTCCGAGGCGTCTGCATTCTCCATCCACGCCACCGAGTAGAGGTCGCCCAGGCAGGTGCCAAACTCGGGGGGCGGGGAGGGGGCCATGCCCGGGCAGTAGGTGCCTGCGGCAGGGGGGGTGGCAGCGGGTGGGCACCATGCAGCAGGTTGCTCACACCTGGAGAGGCGTCGCTCCGGCCAGTCCCGGCACTTCCTCGCCCACCGCGGCCCGGCTTCGCCGGCGCCAAGCCGCGGCGCCGCAGCACCGCAGGCGCTCCCCCCATGCCCCCCGCCCGACCCCCGCCGCCGCCTCACCCCACGACGACTCGTGTCCGTTGGATGCTGTGGTGGCATACACGGACAGCGAGTCCTCCAGCATGCCCTCAAACATGCTGCCGCTCTCGCACGCCTCCATGTAGCTGCAGGCGGGGCAGGGGGGAGGCAAACGGATGAGCAGGCGAGTCCTCGGTGTTGGCAGCAGCAGCAGCAAGGCGAGGCAGCGGGGTGCCAGCGCTGCTGGGAGGCGGCAGGTGCTGGGGCAGGGCGGCCGGCCCGCGCGGCGGGGCGCCCCCCCCGGCGGCAGCGCGGCGCTCACATGACCATCTCGGCAAAGCCGCCCGCCCGGGACTTGTTGGCCACCACGGCGTGCAGCTGGTCGGCATAGAGGAAGGGGCCGGAGGGCATGCCCACCACCCCCGGGGCGCCGTGGTCCGAGTAGTAGACAAAGACCTTGTCGGTGGGGCCGCTGGCGATGACGCGGCCGCTGGCGTGGCGCGAGCGCGGGCCCACGCCCTTGGCGTCGCCCGCCAGCACCGCCAAAAAGTTGGCGGCGCTGACGGCGTCGCGGGAGTAGTCCTGCGGCGGGGCGGGGGGCGGGGCGGGAGGCGGGGAGGGGGCCGGCGGGGGCAGTCAGTATGCGGGAGGCGGGGTGGGGAGTTTGAAAGGCCTGGGGAGGCGGGAGCTGGGGACGGCGTGCCGGCAACTGCCGGAAACACCACTCCTGCCGCCGCACGGCACGCTGGCTGCTGCTCCTGCTCCTGCTGCTGCGCCTGCTGCACGCTCACAATCGGCACGCCGGCATACACGTCTGGGCCGTGCGGGCGGTTGAAGAGCTGGCCGGGGTGCGGGTTGGCCGGGTTGTCGGCAATGTCGTCGTACATCATCGTCACAATGCGGTCCTCCTTGACGCCGCCACGCCGCAGCACCTGGTATGCCTGCAGGGGGGGCAGCAGGAGGGAGGGGGGAGTGGTGGGAGGGTGCGAGGCAAGGTGGGGCGAGGGCCTGACGGCTTGTGGGCGGTGCAGCACGCAGTGCCGGCGGGTCGCACGTGGGCCACGTCGGCTTGGTGGCGGTAGTTGCCCCAGCCGGCGGAGCCGGCAATCAGCAGCGCCCACAGCTCGCCTGCAGAGGTGGTTTGGGGAGGCGTCGGCGGCAGCGCGCGGCGGGTTGTGTGGCGGCGGCGAGCGGCGGCGGCAGGGATGCAAGCGGCGCTGCGCCTGCCGGATGCAACAACCGCATGTCCACGAATTGCCAGGGCGATGGGTGGCCCAGGCAAGCAGCGGAGCGGCCACCGCCAGCGCGCCCTTTGCCGCCCTACGCACCTGTCTGCTGCAGCTCCCTGGCACCGGCCCCAGCAGCCACTGCAAGTAACAGAGCGACGGCAGCTGCCGCAGTAAGCCTCCGGGACGCCATTCTCTCGGGTGGCCGCAGGATCGCACGGGTGCCGCCACAGCCTGCCTCCCAAGCTGTCCTGGGAAGCTTTGTAGCGGTGCAGGGCAATGGGAAGCGCGTCGGATAAGCCTGAGACTCATTTTGCTGACACTGCAAAATGGAGGAAGGCAGGGCGATGGATGAGCCGGGGGGCTGCTCCTCAGCTTTGTTGTGTGCGCTACACACGAGGTATGCACGCTAAGCAGCGCGTGCGGATAGCCAGCACAGTGGATCACATGCGGGCGACAGGTGAGAAAATGACAGCCTGGGCTCCCTCGATTGAGGAGGTGATGTTTAGGATGCATCCGCAAAGCAGGGGGTAACACACGCGACCAACACAGCACCAGCGCCGGCGCCCGCCCATCTGCCGCCACCGCCGACTGTGCGGCAGCCGTACGGCTTTGCTGTTGCCCAGCAAAACCGAGGATGCAGCTGCATGTCACTGGTCCCTGCCCCTTCATGTCGCGCAGGCTTGCTCGTTGGCGTGGTGAGCGACACGCACGGCGTGTGGGACCCAGCGCTGCGCGGCGTGTTTGCCGGCGCCCACCAGCTGGTGCACGCCGGCGACGTGGGCAACCACGGAGGGCATGCCGCAGTGCTGGGCGCCCTGCAGCGCATCGCCCCGGTGACAGCCGTGCGCGGCAACGTGGATGACGATGCAGCGGCGATGAAAGACCTGCCCATCACCGCCCTGCTGCACCTGGCGGACTGGTCTGTGCTGCTGGTGCACATTCTTGAGTCGCCCGAGGCGGCAGCAGCCATGGAGCAACACCAGCCCGATGTGGTCATCACGGGGCACAGCCACAGGTGGAGCGAAGCCACGGTGGAGACGGCGGCAGGCAGGCGGCAGCTGCGCCTCAACCCCGGCAGCGCAGGGCCGGCACGCTTCAAGCTGGGCCGCTCGGTGGCGCTGCTGGCGTTGCCGGAGCGAGGTGAGGAGGGGTGCCTGCCAGCTGGCTGCCCTCCCTGGCTGCCAAAACGCTTGCCTGATGATGCTAAGCCGCCGCACATCCGGGCGCTTGCTGCAGGCAGCGGGGCCTGGCCCACCGTGCGGCGCATTGAGCTGGCTTCCAAGGCGCCACCGCGGCTGCCAGAGGCGCGAGGCGGCGCGGCACGCGGCATGCGGCGGAAGCAGGTGGTGGGATGAGGGGCCGGGAGCGGCAGTGCGTTACAGGGCAGCAGCAAGAGACTGAGAACGTGAGTTCATGTGTTGTGCTAGCGAGCGCAGATGCAAACAGAAAGGGTGAGCACTGAGATTTGGCAAAACAACCGAGGGAGGAAGACGAGTGGAGGTGCATGCTGGGCTCGGCGCACTAGTCGGCTGCATGCCGCTGGAACTGCATGGCCCCCCCCTCAAAGGCGGGCCCCCCCTCCACGCTGCGAGCCATGCCGATGCCGCGCCAGGCGCCCGCCCCGCGCTGCGCCCGCCCCGAGTAGTAGAGCCGCCACTTGCCGCCCGCCATGCTGACCGCCCAGGGGCAGCCCACGCCGCCCTCGTCCCACGCCCCCGCCACGCCGCTGCCCTCCAGCACCGGCTGCGGGCAGCGCCGCCAGCCCCGCAGGCCGTCCTGCGACACCGCCAGGCCGATGCTGCGCCCGCCGTCTGCGCCCACCGCCTCGTAAAACATGAAGTACTGCTTGGTGTCGATGTCGCGCACCACGCAGCGTGTGGCGGCGCCCCGCGCGTCAAAGTCGGCCTCGGAGGAGCCGCCCTGGAGCGGAGGGGGGCCGCGAGTGGGCAGGGATTGGGAGGAGGCGCAAGACAGGCAACGGCAACAACACCACAGTGCTTAACTAAAGGACTCGGCAGGCTCCCCTGCAGTCCCCGCCGCACCTCGAAGATGGGCCCCATCTTCTTCCACTTGAAGCCGTCGGGCGAGGTGGCCAGGCCCACCACGTAGCGCTGGCGCGCGCGGTCGTACGAGTGGTAGTACATGCGCATGTCGCGGGGCCCCGCCGCCACCACCTGCGGCCCGCCCACAAACAGCTCGTCCCACTCCCCCGCCTTCCCCACGTCAAACAGCGCCCCCGTGTGGTGCTCCGCCTCGATGCGAGCCCAGTTGCGGCCGTCCTGGCTCATGGCCAGGCCGGGGCGCAGGCGCAGGCCCTCCAGGTCGCCGCCCTCGTCGTCCAGGCTGGCCTGCGGGCGGGTGAGGGCCGGGGAGGGCGTGGCGTGGGGCAAAGGTGGAACGGGAGCAGGGCATGGCTGTCAAGGGGGGAAGGCAGACACGCAGCTCAGAAGCAAATGGCAGGCAGGGAGCTTCCTCCAGCCTGTTCCACCCCACAACCCGCCATGCCCTGGCAAACGGCGCCACGCAGACCCCCCACCCCCCACGTGCCTGCGACATGCCCGCGGGCAGGGAGACGGGCTCAAAGGAGCCGCCGCTGTAGAACATCCAGTACACGCCGGTACCGCCGCTGACCGAGCTGCTGGACAGGATCTGCACGTCGGCCACGTTCATGTGGCAGGTGTCAAACCACCACCAGTCGCCGTTGGGCTCCAGCACCTTGCCCACGTCCAGCGAGCGCTGCGGGCCGCGGGAGCCCTCGATGCGCCCCGACCCCCGCCGCCAGTTGATGCCGTCGGAAGACACCGCCACGCCTGTGGGAGGCATGGGGGTGGGGTAAAGGCAGCCGGTGCAGGCATGAGTGCAGCGTACGATGCCAGCAAGCTTGCAGCATGCAGCATGCATGCTACTCTTCTTCTCCCAGCGCATATGCCACCGCCGCAGCACCTATGCTTCCGGAGGAGGGGAAGATGTCGTCCATGTCCCGGCAGGCCTCCGAGCGCCCCGTGTACCACATAAACCAGCGCTGCTCGTCATCTCCTAGGAAGTAGCGCACCACGGCATGGCCCACCCCCGCCTCGTCCCACGCCCCCGCCTCGCCGCACGGCAGCAGCAGGCCCGGCTGCACAGCCACGGCGCTGGAGGCGCCGTTGCTGCTAGACTGCAGGCACCAAGCGTGGGACATGCCGGGCAGCGAGTGGGCGAGGCTGAGCAGCCTCCAGGCAGGAAGCTCATTGTTCTGCGGCGAGCCAGCAGCGCGGCAGCACGCACCTGGCATGGCAATGCACGCTTTGATAACTGTCCTGGTGCTTTGATCAACCTGCGCGCAGAGACCCGGCCCCTGGGCGCGCAGGCGGGCAGGGCCTGTTCTGGCAGGGCTCTACAGCTCGCCAGCCCGCTCATTGTAAGCTCTGCGGGCATTTTTCGTGATGTTGTAGCTACAGAAAGATCCCACCCTCTTCTGGATGGGGGTCCAGCAGGGATCCAGGTGGCAGAGAATTCAACTCACACGGATGACATCCCACAGCACGGAGGGCCACCAGTTGATTATGATCGCAATGCGGTAGGCCCATGTAGAGCGCTCAGCTTAGTGTGCGATGGTTGTGGCGCGGCGCCCCAGCGCCCTGGGGGCTATGCTGCTGTCCACGCTCGTGATCATGTCGGCGATGGTGTTGCTGTTGGTTGCCTTGAAGCCCGGGAGGTGCGGCTCCCGCCCTGCCGCCTTGGGCCGGGTTGCGCTCCCGCCCACCTGCCGTTGCCACCACCTGCCGGCGGTTGGCACCTCCTATCTCCTCACCCCCACACCCATCTGCCCTGCAGGTTGGCCACCATGGGACCCTCTGCAGCCATTATTGGATTGCGCAGGCCCCGGTGTCAAGGACGCGGTCCTGGCCAAGCCATCTCTCAGCCACACAACCGGCCAGGTCGGTTGTCCGTGGAGTGTGGCCGACAGCGCCTGTGGGCAATGGCATTCCATGCATGCTTACAGCCCTCAACCCCTGTTGCCTCTTCTCTGCTGGACATCAGGCCGCCTCCCGCCAGGGACCATGCCGATGGAGCACCCCAGCCGGGCCACATTCAATAGGGTGCAGGTATGGTGAGGCAGTGGTTCCCGATGGTGTTGGGAAGGCTGTCGGGAGCCCTGCCTGCCCAAGCCTGGCCCACTGCCTCGCTGCAGGCCGACCCCAGCCTGCCGGAACGGGATGCCAGCATCGTGGCGGAGTTTGAGGCGGCGCCCTGGCTGCTGCCGCCGCGCACCAAGGCGCTGACGTACACGGGGGTGCACAATCTGGGCCAGCTGCTGGAGCTGCGGGCCACGCCCTTTGGCAAGCACCCCAAGACCATGACGCTGCTCACGCTGAACAAGCAGTTTGCCGTGATGACCCAAAACACGAGTGGGTGTGCAGCGCCGGCGCCGGCACGCTCCTGCCCACGGCTTGCTTGCCGGCGCGCGGCCGCTTCGACGGCCCCTCCCCTCCCGCCCTGCAACCTCGCTGCAGTCTACTCCATGGTCAAGTTTGGCGGCGTGCGCAACTACATCGTGGCCACCTGGGACCCCGGAGACCTGGCGGCCTGCGCCGACCTCAACCTGCCGTGCGCCGACGTCACCCGCTTCCTGCCGGAGCCGATGAACCGGGCGCAGGATGCGGGGGCCTTTGGCTCACACGACTACCTGGTGGTGTGCTGGCTGCGCTCCTTCCTGCTCACCCACCTGCTGCGCCAGGGCTTTGTGGTCTTCTCCACAGGTGGGTGCGCCTGGCGGCGTCCGGCGGCCCCAGCACCGCACCTGCCTCCAGCCTGGAACGTGTGCGCGCTGCCGCTCACCCCGCCTGCTCCTCCCATCCCTCCCTCCCTCCCTCCCTCTCTCCTCGCTTGCCTGCGCCCGCAACAGACAGCGACATTTCCTACTTCCTCAAGCCGGTGTGGGAGAGCTACATGCGGTTCATGGAGGAGGCGGGCGCCGACGCCGCGTTCCAGACAGAGGCCCCACGTGCGGCGCCGCTGCTGGCGGCACCCGTCGGTCCGGCGTGGTGCCGCATGAGGGTGTTGGTGTGTGTTCCCTGCCGACTGCCCCGCCACCTGTCGCTCCCGGCCCTACTGCAGTGAACGGCGGCAACTACTGCGTGCTGCCGACGCGCGCCGCCATCAAGTTTGCGGCCAGCTGGGCGGCGCTGGCCCGGCCGATGATCAAGGAGGGGCTGCATGACCAGCACGGCTTTTCCAGGATCAGCAGCAAGGTGTGGTCGCTCTGCGAGTCTCTGGACTCGTGCCAGCAGGCGCGTGCAAAGGTGAGGCAGCGCACACGGCGCATCCCTAGCTTCCTCGGGGCCAGCCTCTGCGTGTCTGCGCTCTGTCGACGCTGCTGGTACCGAGGGATCAGTCCAAAAAAAACTGCAGCATCCGCCATGTGTGATTGCAGCACAAAGGCAAAAACACCAGCGTCGCCCTGATTCGGAGGTACCTGCCTGGCTTCCTCAATTACTGGGACCATCTGTGCGCCCTGGGCGGGCCCCCGCTGGGCTTTGGTGAGCAGCTGCCCACCATGGACCCGTGCGACTGGTTTGCGTTCTACCTGCACCCCATCTGCGCAAACAGCACGCAGAAGGAGCAGCTGTTCAAGCTGCAAGGAGTGTGGCACATGGACGAGCAGAGTGAGTGCCGGGGTTGGCTGTGCTGGGCTGAGAGAGCCCGGCCTGTCAAGCCTTTCTCTGAGGCCCCTGCCTCCTGTGCTGCCTGCCGGGTGCGGGGCAGGCGGGACAAGTTGTGGGCTGCTGCCCCGTCAGCTGTGCCTCACACAGGCAGCTCATACACTGGGCCTGTCTCTTTATCATAGAAGCCTGCCTCTCTCTTGCTTCTCCTGCAGACTGTGGCCCCCGCAACAGCAGCTCGAGCCAAGTGAACGTGTGCCAGCCGCTGCGCTGGCGGGTGCCAGCCACGGAAGCAATGCTGTACGCCTGCCCGGCGTATGGTGTTGCACTGACGCATCGCCGTCCTCAGCGGCAGCCATTGCCTGCTCCCAGCTGACAGTGTTTGACCTGTAACCCCAACAACCCAGCCCTCCACAGTGCCCATCCACATCGGCAGGCGGGAGGAAAGCTGCAATGCCCGCTGAGATGGCGGGTGGGCGGCTGCTTGCCGGGCAGGGCAACTACCCTGATCAGTGACTACATGCGCTACTGTCTGCCGTGTGCTCTGTATTCTTGCGCTTCCCCTGTTCCGTAGCACCCCGCAGACCATGGCGCTAATCGTCTCAGCACCACGCCCCGCCTGTGCAGCGACGTGGGGGAGATTCAGGCCAGCGTCCCGGCGGCAAGGTAGGCAGCAGCTTGGGTCCTGGAGCCTCAGGTTTGGTGGCGGCATGATCGCGACGCTCCCCTCGTGCTCAACCCTGCAGCCCTCGCACCCAGGCGGCCATTGGCGGCTTCCGCGACTCCAGAGGCCAGCAACGGCAACGGCGCGCAGGTGTGTGGGTGCACAACGAAGAAGGGTCTGGAGCGGCGGAGGCGGCGCCACGGCGCCTGGGTAGCGAAGGTGCAGTGTTCTTTTGCCTGATTGCAGGTGGAGGGCCTGAAATATGATCACATCCTGCTGGCCATCCTAGACAGCAACCCCGTGTTGTCGTCCGCCTCCCGCACTGCACTGGTGACGGCAGCAGCCCTGGCAACGCAAAACTCTAGCAAGCTGTGAGCCTATTACTGGGTGGCTGGCTGCGGGCTCTTGAAGGGCCGCTGGGCCACCCTCCGTGGTTGTCAGTGACTTTATAGCGATGTGCTTGCGCCCTTCATCATGCATTCGGCACCTCCCTGTCTGCACCTCCCTGTCGGCACATCGCCTCCCTGTCGGTTATGGCGATGTGCTTGCATCCTTCATCATGCATTTGGCACCTCCCTGTTGGCTTGCAGAACGGTCATGTTCATTGATGAGCAGGGGCAGAAAGTCAGCGAGAAGCGGCTGCAGCTTGTGCAGGGGTAGGTGCCGCTGGTGCCACTGGCGCCGACCGCCTGGTGGGTTGCTTCACGCACGTGCCCCTTGCGATGTGCACAGGGAGCTGATGAGCCGCGGGGTGGAGGCGGCGTTTGTTGAGGAGGAGGTGGAGGCGGCATCGGTCGGCAAGGGGTCTGTGGCTGTGGGCGAGGTGGCGGACAATGTGGAGGCCGACCTGGTGGTGCTCAGCACAGCAGGTGGGAGGAGAGGGGCAGCGCAGACGGAGGGTGCTCGTTCGCATGGCCGGCTGAGCAGGAGGCCATCGCTGGCATGCGCTGCTGCTGGGCAGCCCCCGGTCCGTGACCTGCTTGGTGTTGACATGCCCAGGCATGCACGGCTCCCTGCTGCTGCAGCGGTGCACGAGAAGCATGTGGATGCCAACCTGCTGGCCGAGTTTGTGCCCTGCCCGGTCCTCCTGCTGCCGTGACCGCGGCTCAACAGGGCAATTTTCCTGGCGTGTGATGGTGTGAGAGCAACTGCCTGGAGCGGCAAGAGGCCTGAGAGTGGCTCATATGGCAAGGCAAGGCCGTAGGAAGACAAGCGTGTGGCTTGCCGATTGGCACGCGTCTCTGGTGTGGCATTGTGCCCCGCGCCGTGTCGCAAGCCTGTCCTGTGTGTACGATGTAATCTGCGTTTTCCTGACAACACAGCACAGGCAGGCATTGCAGGAGTGCGCTGCAGCTGTGGCATCCCCTGGTGGCCCCTCAGAAGGGCCCCAGCTGATCCACCCCCGATGCCGCCCCCTCCATGGCCTCAATGCCCCGCAGCTCCTCCCGCGCCTGCCGGTTCTGAGGCTCCAGCGCCAGCACCTGCCGAAAGTCGGCCTTGGCGCCGTCTGCATTGCCCTGCGGTGGCCAAGGGTGGGTAGTGGGGGTGAGGCAGTGGTGGCGTGTGTGGTGGTGGGGTGCAGCAAGAAGGGGGTGAGCCGCAACAGCTGCAGAATTGCAACAAGGTGCAGCGCAACCGTGGCCGCCTGCCGCCCCCACCTGCGCCAGCCGGGCGGAGCCGCGCCGCAGCAGTGCCTTGGCGCTCAGCTCCAGCTTCAGCGCCGCGTCGCAGTCGGCCTCCGCGGCGCCGTAGGACCCCAGCTTGAGGTAGGCCATGGCGCGGTTGGCGTGGTAGACGGCAGCCTGCGGGCGCAGCTGTATCGCTGCGCCGTACTGCCTTACCGCATCGTCGTACCGCCCAGCCCGGAACGCCGCGTTGCCATCCTCCTTGAACGCCTCGGCTGCCGCCGTCGCCGCATCCAGCGCGCTGTCGGCCTTCTTGCGCCTGCCATTGGCACGGGACGAGCCCGCAGGCTTCTTGCCACCGTCGCCGGTGGCCGTGGCTGCGGCCTCGGCGGGCGCTGGCGCCTGCGGCCGCCACCACGGCTGGTCGCCGTTGTTGCGCTCCGCCACCAGTGCCGCCGCCTCATCAGCCAGCATAGGGCCCAGCTTGGCTGCCGCTTGCAGCAGCACCAGATCCCGCTTATGCAGCGCCAGCAGCGACACAGACAGGGGCATGCCGCCGGGCACAGGCAGCGGCAGCACCACCTGCGGCACCCCAGACAGCGCCGCCACCGCAGCAAACTGCGCACACCGCGCCCGGAATGCCTGTGCCGCCTGCGCCTCGCCGCCGCTAGCGCCGCCTGCGCCTGCCGCTGCTGGCGGCGCTGGGCCGGGGGTGGTGGGCAGCACAAAGATGTATCCATCCATCAGCGACGCGCGCATGGCCGCCTGCAGCTCTGCCGCCAGCGCCCGCGCCTTGCTGTACAAGCCCTCGTCCACCTGCGCTCATGGGCCCGGCCCAGGCACACGGCAGGCGGCGACGTGAGCCGAAGCAGGCAAGGCAGGTGCGGGATCGGGGAAGCTGGGCTCGCAACCAGGCATCTTGTAAAGGACCTCGACCGCGGTTGAGCCCGGCTCACCAGCTGTGCCTCCTGCCAGTACAGCACCACCGAGGGCTCCAGCTGGCTCTGGTGCGCCTCCACCCAGGCGCCATACGCCTGCACAAACTCCCACTGCCGCACCACCTCGGCCGCGGCTGCCAGCGCCTGCAGCACTTGCTCCGCCCGCTGCTGCTTCTCCATTCCTGGAGGAAACGAGGCGCGGGAGTGCTGGAAAAGAGGTTGAGCAGAGGTGAAACAGTGGTGAGGTGAAAACAGCCGGAGCAGCAGGGATGGTGCAGGCGCAGCGGGCGGGGGTGCCGGTGCCGCTCACCTGCCGCCGCATCCTCCTTCTTCCTGTCGGGCATGAACGCCGCTAGCGAGGCCACCCGGTGGTAGAGCCACTCACACAGCGACAGCGCCTGCGCCTGGTCGGGACCCGCCCACCTCTGCACGCGCGTTGCGGCAGCAGCGCGGTGGCTCAGAAGCATGCAGGCTTTGAGCGGCCCCAATGGTGCCTGCCTGCTAGCCAGCCCGCCCTGCTGCACATGCCGGGGCAGCAGCAGCAGCAGCCGAGCGCGCCGCCTCACCTTGACGGCCGCCACCACGGCCGGCATCATCGCCCGCGTCTCCTCTCCCGCCGCCGCAAAGAAGTCCTCTGCCACCAGGTAGCGCAGCACGTCGGTGGAGGCGGCGGCGCCTGCGCCACACATGCACAGCGCGGGAAAGCATGCAGGTGAGCACAGGGGTGGGAGCCTGGCAGTGGAACAGCGTCACTTTGGCGGGAGTGTGGCGCGGGAGTGTGGCGCCCGCGCGGCGGCTCACCTCCCGGCAGGCGCAGCGCCTGGCCCGCCTTGAGCAGCAGCTGGGGGTCGGCAGCCAGCAGGGCGGGCGCCGCCAGGCTGCGTGAAGTGATGGCGGCTCCCTCCAGGGGCAGCACCCCCGCTGTGGTGCGCAGAGCGTAGGCTCCGCAGCAGCCGGCGGGCACGCGGGCGCTGCCCAGCTCGTCCACGGCCAGAGCCAGGTCAGCCAGGCCTGCCGCCACGCTGGCGGCAGCGCCATACTCGCCGCCGCCGTGGGTGTGCCCCTTGCCGGCGGGGTTGGGGGTGCCTGCGCCGCTGAGGAACAGCAGGGGCCTGCGGCGCAGAGAGGGCAGCAGGAGAAGGCGGAAGGTCAATAGCCATGGTTGAAGCTCAGTGGGAGGTTACAGAGGGGCTCACAGCATGCCGGCAGGCAGGCAGCACAGCAGCGCCAGTCGTCCACAACACAGCCATGCGGGCGTGTCGCAGCAGGCGGCCCACCAGGGGCGCAGGCGCTCACCCCAGGCCCAGAGGCTCCCCGTGGACCACCGCAATGCCCTGCGCTCCCGCCGCCACCAGTGCATCTGCGGGCCCGTAAGTCTGGCTGGCCGCTCGCTGCTCGCTCTTCCAGGGCTGGCAGCCGAATGCTGTCTCCAGGCTCTGCACATCCAGCCGATCAGACAGCACAAGGGTGCGCCCCGCCAGGCTGGCAGGTGTGGGCGGCGGCAGCGGCACCGACGGCTCCCGCAGCGCCAGCACCGCCGAAAACACCTGCTGCTTGCCCACTGCCGCACGCTGCACCCTGCCGCCCCTGCGGCGCCGCAGGTGCCGCACCAGGAGGCAGACGGCTGCCGCCACGGCTGCCGCGCCAGCGGCTAGCGCAAGCACAGGCAGCGGCGGTGGCGGCGCCGCTGCAGGTGCAGGCGGGCCGCGGCGGGGTGCTGCCTGTGCCACCGGCTGCTCCGCCTCCAGATCGGCCGGGGGGGTCTGCAGGGCTTGCTCCTCCTCCTCCTCGCCCGCTGTGGCTCTTGATGGACTGGTAGAAGTGTCTCGTGGCATGTCTGCTCCTCTTGCACACCTGCGGATTGGCGATTAGTGCTGCGCGTGCAGAGGCCCTGAAAAGGCGGGAATGCAGCGGGAGCCGAGAAGGTGTACCTCTGTCTCTGGGCTGGACATGGGGAGCCGCACGTGCCGGCTAACACAAGCGTGTTTCCGTCAAATCATTCTGCTGCAGCTGCAACTAGTTCCCACCGCCTCTGCGGGCAGTTGCGCGGTGGGAAGACATGCAGGCGGCTCTCCCTGCGGCTTCGGCGCGGCAGCTAGCACCCTGCCTGCATCCCCTTCCAACATGTACAGAAGCCGTGGCAGTTAGCCGACATGCGCAGTCCTGCTGGGCTCCTGGTCGACCCCTCGCACGGCCCCCACGGCCCCTGTCGGGCTCCCAGAAGCGTGACCAGCGGCCCCAGAGGTGCAATGTGAGTCCCCAGGCTGGCGATGGAGGTGCAGGCCGGCTGATGCAACGCCCGGCGGCAGCTGACATAAGCTGCCGCCGCTGCTCACCCCGGTGCAGGCTGAGGGCATGAATGGCGTGACGGTTGGGGGGCCAGAGGAGCTGAGTGGTGAGCGGCACGTGCAGTGGGGTTCATCGAGCCTCAGCACTGCCCTGGCTGCACACCGCCGCTGCTCTTGACCGTTGGTGTTCCGAGGTCTGCCGCCGCCGGCCCGCCGCCCGCTGCCGCTACCCCTCATCTTGCCTGCAGCCAAGGATCTGCGCCACCTGCTGCGCGCCGCCGAGGTGTCCCAGGAACCCATGGGGCAGACGCAGCCGCACCCGTACGCCGGATGTGTGCTGGTCAGCAGCGAGGGGGTGCCGCTGGCAGAGGCGTCGCAGTGGGCCCAGGTGCGCGTCCCTGGCTGGCAGCCTGGGTGGCGGCAGCATCCACCTGGGCAGTCCCATGTGCTCCCCACCCCCCCTGGACCCGCTCCTCCGCGTATCGCTGCTCGCGTTGCGCGGCGCAACTCTTGCCCTCACCCTCACCCACCCACCCCGCCGCCGCCGAGCAGGGCACCGAGGCGCCAGAGTGCGCGGCGGCGCGGCAGGCGGGCGGCGCCGCAGCCGGCGGCACCGCCTACCTCAACCTGGAGTGCGGCGACTGCCACGGCGACCGCGCGGCGGTGGATGCGCTGGCTGGGGCGGGCGTGGCGCGGGTGGTGGTGGGCATGCGCCACCCGCTGCCCCACCTGCGAGGCACGGCCCTGGCCCAGCTGCGGGCCGCGGGGCTGCGGGTGGCGGTGCTGGGGGAGGCCCCCTGCGGCGCGGGGGTGGCTGGGGAGGAGGCGGAGGCGGCGTTGGATGCGTGCCTGGCCGCCAACGAGGCGCTGCTGCACCGCGCCGTCATCAAGCGCCCCATGGGCCTCCTCAAGTACGCCATGACCCTGGACGGCAAGATTGCCACCCACACCGGGCACAGCGCCTGGGTCAGCAGCGCGCAGTCGAGGCAGCGCGTGTTTGAGACGCGCGCGCGCTCAGACGCGGTCATCGTGGGCGGCTGCACAGGTGCGGGGCAGGGCGGGCGGGGCCTGGGGCGGCCAGTGCGAGGGGCCGGCCTGCGTGGAGGCTGCCTGCGTGGAGGCTGCCTGCCGCACTGCCACCCCTGGCGTGCAAGCAGCCCGGCCCTCAATGCCCCCCCGCGCTTGCGCCACCCCCCCGCGCCGCCCCCTGCAGTGCGCCGCGACAACCCGCAGCTGACGACGCGGCGCGAGGGCGGCCACCAGCCCATGCGCATCGTCATGAGCCGCACCCTGGACCTGCCCGCCGAGGCCAAGCTGTGGGATGTCAGCCACGCGCCCACAGTGGTGGCCACGCAGCGGGGCGCGCGCCGCGACTTCCAGGACGCGCTGCGGCGGCGGGGGGTGGAGGTGCTGGAGTTTGACTTCCTCACGCCAGACGCGGTGGCCAGGTGGGCGAGCTTCTGGCTTGTGGTGTGGTGTGGTGTGGTGTGTGTGTGTGTGTGTGTGTGTGTGTGTGTGTGTGTTGTGGCGGAGGTAGCAGGCAGAGGCTGGCAGCATGCGGCATGCGCAGGGGGCTGGGGGGAGGCAGGGGAGTGCAGATGCCGAGGCACGCTGGCGCCGCCATGCCCCCACACCGTGCTGCCCTGCGCCCCGCCAACCCTGCGTGCCCTGGTGGCCCCCTGTACCGCAGGTACTGCTACGACCGCGGCTTCCTGCAGTGCCTGTGGGAGTGCGGCGGCATGCTGGCGGCGCCCGCCATCGCCACCGGCGCCATCCACAAAGCCATGGCATTTGTGGCGCCCAAGCTGGTGCGCCCCGCGGCCACCTTCAGCCGCAGCTGGGCAGCCGGGGATGCAGGCCTTTGCCTGCCTGCTGCGCATGTGTGGTATGTGCCAGCCTGGCACCCCAGCCGGCTGCCTGCTCGCCCCCTTGCGCCTGCAGATCGGCGGCAGTCGCGCCCCCACGCCCGTGGGCGACCTGGGGTTTGTGGAGATGACGCAGGCGCTGCCTCTGTCGGAGGTGCGGTGGCAGCAGGTGGGGCCAGACCTCATGCTCACCGGCTACTTGCCCCAGTCGGGAGGCCTGCGCGCGCTGGCGGCCGCGGCAGCCGAGGCAGACGCCACCGCCGTGGACAGCAGCAGCAGCGGCGGCGGCGGCGGCAGCGGCCTGGCAGCAGCGGCCGGCTCCGCGGCCGCCCTGGCCGCAGGGAGCGGCGGCGGCGGCGGCAGCGGGCGGGCGCCGCGCCACCCCGGCTCCAGGCTGGCGCCAGCTGGCGTGGCAGAGTTCTACAAGGCCTGGGACCGCTACGGCTGCTTCAGCAACTTCTCGCCGCACGCCATCAGCATGCCAGAGGGCGCCATGACGCCAGCACGTGCCCAGCAGCTGCACCAGCAGGCGCAGCAGGCGCAGCAGCAGCAGCAGGCGTGCGGCGGCGGCCAGGCGGCGGGGCTGCACCGCTGGCCCTCCACCGAGCACTACTACCAGTCCCAGAAGTTTGCTGGGGTGGCTCACCCCGAGGCGCAGGCACTGGTGGCGGCCATTGCAGCTGCCAGGAGCCCCGAGGAGGCGGCCAGGCTGGGGCGGCGCGCTGAGCGCCAGCGGCAGGACCTGCTGCGCCCAGACTGGGCCGCCAGCAAGCCAGCCGTCATGCTGGCCGCACTGCGAGCCAAGTTTACGCAGCACGACGGGCCCCGCCGGGTGCTGCTGGCCACGGCACGCAACTGCGGCGGCAGAGGGTGCGACGGCGGCACGGCCGCCAGCGGCGGCGAGCACCTGGGGCTGGAGATTGTGGAGACCTCGCCCAACGACTTCTTCTGGGGCCGCGGCTACAACGGCACAGGCAGCAACATGCTGGGCAAGCTGCTGATGCAGGTGCGGCGAGAGATGGCGGAGCAGGCGCAGCAGCCGGCGAAGCAGCCGCAGCAGCCCGCAGAGGCCCAGCAGCAGCCGCACCTGGCGCGGCGGCGGCAGCAAAAGCAGCAGCAAGGGCAGCCGCCATTGGCAGCGGCGCAGAAGGCTGTGCCCGACTGCTGCCTGCGACCTGTTGGCTTCTCCGCTCTGTTCCCAGGCACTCCCTTGCTGTATTGCTCGCCCCTGTGTGAACTCCCAAAGTTAGTAGTGTTTACCCCAGGGAGGCACAAAGTATCACTGCGTGTACTACACTAGTAGTGGCCGTCGGCGGACAGAGCACACGAGCGGCGCGCCTAACGGGGGCTGGCCATGGCTTTGTACAGTGAAGGGCAAAGCCGTTGAGTAGTGGTTCAGAGCAGCTCTGAACCACTATCCCCGTTCTGGCCCGTTGGTGGGCCAGATTTGGCCACATGACGACCAAGTGGCTGGTAGGCATCCATGTGGGAAGCCGCTGGGAAGGTGGCGCCTTGCACCATCCGGGCAGAGCGATACACACCCAGGTGGACTGCTAGGCTTGTGGGAAGGGCTTGATGATGTGAATGGAGTCTTGTGGATCCACCAAGGCGGGCGCTTGTTGAGGCGCAGACTCTCAACATAGTCTCTCGAGATACGAGAGGGCCTTTTTGCGGACGGGGCAGTCACTTGCGGCCGGCGCCATTTCCGCTCTGATTCGTCCTCCCTGCCTATTATGTGTATCATAATTGTCTCTAAACACACTCACATATCTTTGACCATCTTCAGAGGCCATGGCGCGCTGCACAGCTCTCCTTAGTGGGGCCGTGGCCGTCCTTGTGGCGCTGCTGGTTGCCCCCGTCTACTGCACCAGCTCTAGGAGGCTCCTAAAGGCAGATCAGGCGACTCTGTCAGGTGAGTGGGGCGGGCAAGAGGCCGGCTCATGGCGGCCGCAGTTGGCCTGAAGGCTGACACTTACGCCTTCACTTCTCTGTGTGCAGGCAAGGCCATCGTGATCTATCACGACCAAGGCGGCGTGCCCTCCAAGCGGTGAGTGGTAGAGGCGTGTACAGGAGTGCGAAAAAAGTAGCGGCCCCGTCGGGACACACGAGCGACGCTGCCACCGCCGCAACCCCTTCCGCTGCCGCAGGCTGCTCGCGGTGCGCACCCCTGCTGGCAGGCAGGTGCACGTGCAGCTTGGGGATGCCAACCAGCTGGCGGGCATCCACACCGGCATGCACATCGAGGTGTCGGGGCGGTGGCAGCAGGCGGCGGCAGCGGCTGGCGGCATGCAAGCCGCCGCCGCAGGTGCTGGCCCTGCCGCGGGCTCAAGCAGCTTCCAGGCGGCCACCATCCGCCGTGCCTCTGGAGCAGCCTTTGCAGCCCCCAAGGTGGCCAACGCTGCCGGCCAGATGATGGCAGCAGCAGCAGCAGCCACGACAACCCCCGCCGTCGCCCTCAGCACCAACCAGCTGATCACTAGTGCCGTCAACACCATCGTCGTCCCAAGTAAGAGCCTTGGCTGGCTGCCTGGTTGTGTGTGCTCTGCACCTGGCAGCCGACAGCGCAGCATCCATGCAGTCTTTGCCTGCCACACTCTGCACCGCGGCCCAGCCCCCCTTCTCATGCCCCCGCCCCGTTCTTGCCCCTCGCGCTGCCTTGCAGTTGCGGGCATGGCTGACAGCACCACCGCCTGCCCCGGCACCGCGCTGCCCAAGTTCAGCGTGGATGATGTGAAGAAGGCCGTGTTTGCAGAGTCCAACCCCAGCAGCCCCACCGTGGGATCCACCTTCAACAAGTGCTCCTACGGCAAGACCAAACTGACCACCGCCAACAGCCGGGTGGCAGACCTGGTGCAGCTGCCCTGCAATGGCATCACGTGAGTGGACTGCTGCCGGCTGCCAGTGGCTGCCTGAGCTGTGTTCTGCTGTTGCAGGCGCTGCCCTGCAGCTGAATGCACCACACGAGAAGGTGGCAGGCGTGCTGACTCCTCCCCTCCCTCCCTGTCCTGCCCTGCCTGCCTGCCTGCAGCAACGATGTGGCCTGGACCTTCAGCAAGTGTGATTTTGACGACTTTAATGGCTATGCCGATGCTGCCGACGAGGTGCTGCGCGCCCGCGGCGTCGACCTCTCCAAGTACAAGTACAGGTGAGGGCAAAGAGCGCCGCTGCCAGCCCTGCCGCCAGCAGCGCGGCACACGCCCTGCCCTGTTCCACTGCTCCCTCTCCCCGCTGCTGTGCCTGATTGGTTGCTGCCCGCTTCTCCCTCTTGCTGCAGGGTGTACCTGGTCCCTCCCGGCGCCTGCCCCTTCGTGGGCCTGGGCTATATTGGCTGCGACGGCAGCTACGACTGCCGCGCCTGGATCTCTGGCGATTTCTGGGCCACGCCACAAGCAATCACTCATGAGCTTGGCCACAACCTGTTCATGGGCCATGCTGGCTCCTTCAACAGCGCAGGCGTGTTTGACGAGTATGCCGACAGCAGCGGCCTCATGGGCTACTGCTGCACGGAGCGCTGCCCCAACACGCCGCATGCCTGGCAGATGGGCTGGATCAGCGTGCAGCAGCTTGACGGCAGCAGCCTCAAGGCGGGCCAGACAGTGACCGCCACGCTGTCCAGCCAGGCCGTCTCAGCACGCAGCGGGATGCGCATCCAGCCCAGCTGGACCGTAGGCGTGGACCCCATTTTCCTGGGCTACCGCACCAAGGCGCGTGGAGACGCCGGGCTGCTAACAGCGGACGTCAACAAGGTACACATCTACACCTCCCCAATCACCAACACCTACGATGCAAGCCTCACCACCTGGAAGGCGGCGCTGGGCAGCGCTGGCCAGGCCTGGGAGCACTCCACGGCCGGCCTGGTCGTGCGCCTCAAGGCGGCAACCAGCAGCAGCGCCACGGTGACCGTGTGCCGCAAGGGTGGCGTTGAGACCGCCGCCACCTGCGCAGCAGGCGTGGACAACGACTGCAACGGGCTTGCGGGGGCGCGCGACCCTGCTTGCACGGCGGATTATAGCCTATTACGCACATATTATACATAGCCTATTATAGCCTATTATAGCCTATTATAGCCAACAGTAGCCCACCCGTCCGCTCACAGAGAGCCATCGCGCCGGCCTCGCGCCGATCACCCCCACACCCCCACCCTCCACACTCACCCACCCACCCATCAGCATGTCAAGCAGCGAGGGAGCCAGCCTTGGGCAGCGCAGCCAGCAGCCGATCAGCAACCCGGCCTCCCGGGCATCCCTGCGGCCCGATTTCCCCCATATCGTGGTCAAGGGGCTCGCTCTGGAGGCCGGTGGGGGCCTGGGGGCCGCAGTCGCAGCCTTCGTTTTGTTTTGCCGGGCCAGCCTTCACCTGCCAGTGCCTGACTGTGTGCCTGTGACCTGCGTTGAGATTCGGGTGCGTGGGGGACGGGCGCAGCGAATGCCACCTGCGACTGACTCCTGCCCTGTGCGGCGCCCTGATGGGTGCCCGCCGCCGCCTTTCGTGGGCAGCACCAGAGGTCAGCATTGACCTCTGGCGCTCACCTGGGGAGCTACAATACCTCCATGAGCTGCGCCAGCAGCGCGCGGAGGAGCCCCCAGCGCGCCAGGTGGGGCGGGGCTGCGACCTCTCGCTGGTGGCGAAGCGGCTCCCCTCCCGGCCGCCCTCAGCTGA